TGGTTGGTTTTAAATGGAATAACCAAGTCTCTGCTTCCCCCTGAAGGCAACGCTGGACAAAGTCTGAATCTTTGAGGATGCACAGACAAAGTCTAAACACAGAAACTTTAAACCTCGTGGCGTTGAGGCGTCACTAAACTGTATTTTTGATTTTGTGGCTGGGTTCGCTGGTAACCGACTCAGCGGCTCCATCACAGCCTCTCTGGGCACCAGAACCATCGGGTCTCTATGTGGCCCAGGGGAGCCAGACAGGACAGACATGCGCAGTCGATGCAGTCCGAGCTTTGATTAGCCGATCGACTGCACGCCGGCGGCCCGGCCTGTGATCGGCGGCCTTCACGCTCCGTTTGCGCAGCGATTATTCCTTCTAAACGCGACGCCTGGGTTCCTCCTCCTGCTAATTACTGCACACACTGTACACGGCGTTTACAGAATTAGCGCTAATGAGGCCGGCGGCGGCAGAGCTCAGCGTTCAGGACGACACAAACACGAGTCGTTAGCATCGTTAGGGTCCTCTGGAGGAGCAGGAAGCTCCACGGATCCACCGCAGGAGGAGAAGCACTCGGGTCGGCGCTGATTGATGTGATAATACGACTCGTACCGACTGCAGATCCTCCGCTTGTTTCATCTCGTGTTTCAACATGAAGTCCTGCAGCTCTGAGGAACCAGAACATGAAGCGGGACACAGAACTCAGAACCGTCTGCTGTCATCACTGATGTCACTGTGTTTGTCGTTCTGAGCCTCTGTTTTGTTGTTTTGTTGCTTTTTTGATCATTTTTTGTCACGTTGTGCGTCTTTATTTGTCATCTTGTTGGTCTTTTCTTTTCTTTTTGTGTCTCTTTGTGGTCGTCGTGTCTGCTTTTGTTGCTCTGTGCCTCCTTTTTGTTGTTTGCTGCTTTGTTTTGGTCATTTTTTTGTATTTCTTTCGGTCGATTTGTGTCACGTTGTGCATCTTTCTTTGTCATTTTGTGTCTTCCTGTCATGTTGTTGGTCTTGTTGTGTCTCTTTGTGGTCACCGTGTCTGCTTTTGTTGCTCTGTGCCTCTTTTTTGTTGTTTGTTGCTTTTGTTTTGGTCATTTTTTTGTATTTCTTTCGGTCAATTTGTGTCGCGTTGTTTCTTGTTTTGTCATTTTGTGTCTGTTGGTCTTGTTGTGTCTCTTTGTGGTCGTTGTGTTACTGCTTTTGTCATTTCATGTCTCATTTCTGTCATTTTGTTTCTCTTCTGTGTCGAAAAAACAACAAATCTTCCTTAAAACTTTGATTTTTTAGCGTCTAAGTTGCAGCTCGGCGGCGTCTCTACCTGCGGTGAAGGCGATCCGGCGAGTCGGGCCGAGGTTTAAACCCGATCTTAATTGAGTTCTTTCTTCGCTTTAACCTTTAAACTCGCGCCTCCTCGCACCAGCAGCAGCAGCAGCGAGGACGCCGGCTGCTCGTCGAGGCTTTAAGAACACATCAGACACTTCGAGCGAAGCCCTCCGAGAGTTTCTCCTCCCGTTTGCAGCCGAGTGACTCCGGCGGCTCGAGTGTTTGGCGTCTCATTGCTCGGCTATGAAATTATGTGATAGCGACAAGAGAATTGAAAGAGCGTGATAGTTATTGAGACAGTGCCGCTGCTCTTCAGCCCAGAGCGGGAAACACTCGGAGACAGCTCGGCACACAAACACGCCACCCGCTGTCACGGCAACACACGTCTGAGGCTCGCACAAACACAACAAGAGTCGCACGAACATGTGGAGGAACACACGCCCGGCTCGGCTCGGCGTCCCCGCTAGCCTCATCTGCAATGCAAAGCCAGCGTTTGCGTGAAACAGAGATACGCAGTCGGACGTATCTGAAATTAAATATCTGCCGATGTTCAACGTGTAGCCCGAAAGATAAGAGGCGGCGAGCGCGGCGGAGGGAGAAACGTAGAAAGCGTGCGGAGGGGAGATAGCATTGTGGCGGCGCCGAGACGAGGCCGCGGGGGGAGAAAACACGAGATGAACGGCGAACGATAGCGACACAAAGACGCAACGTGGAAACACAAAGAGCGTCAAAGCGTTTCATTTAACTTGAGACAGACGAGGACAGAAAACAGGAGGAGGGTCTGAAAGGGTTCCTCGCCGCCGCCACCGCCGCCGTCATTAACTGTTAAAAATAAACTAGTTTTACTGCTTCAGGTGTGATTTCTGGAACACTTGACAGAAGTTCCCTGTTTTGGTAAATTTACTCAAAATCAAAGAGAAACTGCATTAATTTACATGTCTTCTGTGAAATAGTTTGACTGTAAAATGATGCTATTCTGTGTTTAGATCAGCAGAAGATCTAATTATGACACAGATATGTGTCTTTATTTGAAATAAAAATTACGTATAAAAGGAATAAAGAATTACTAAGTTATTTAGATTTTTGTAAAAAGACAGAAAAACGTATAAATTTACATTTATTATTTTTTTTATCATTCCACAGTTTTTAACTTCATTTTTTT